GATAGATAGATAGATAGATAGATAGATAGATAGATAGATAGATAGATTTATTTTTCAGAAGTTACGCATTATGACCACTGGAGAGCAATTAAGACTTAGGATTGTATCATAGACTGTATGAACTCCACTTCTGCACAGTTAGAACAGCTGCCATGGTCAAGACAGAAATAATAGTGTGTAACGACTTCCGGTGAAGACTTTCAAACTAAATGTGTATTAACTGTGAGTGACCGTGGGTATGGTGTGCTTAAATCCGACTGTATCGATTTATAAAAGCAGAAAGTCGTCACTTTAACACGTGTATTTCTATCGTTATTACCATCTCTTTGTTATTGTTGTCCCAGACCAACGACTGAAGCTTGAAACCTGAAAATAAAGTTTAATGAAAAAAGAACCGCCTCTTGATGACGTGTTTTTAAGGAGACAGACGGAGGGCGGTTTGAAAGCAAAGAGGCAACTTCTGTCAACATGTTTAAAATAAACCAAATTAACTGACAAGACAGAAGTGAGCGTTCGCTGTCAGTAAGATATCGTACCTGCAAATTATCCGACACTAATAGTTTTTGCATTATTGCCATCTTTTAGGAGTTTTATCTAAAGAAACTTGATACGCTAGCTAACCGCTAGCTAGCTAACGTTACTGCTGGATGCGTTTGACTTTTATTTCCACTAAATGTTGACTCGGTGTAGCACAGAAGTGGATTCTTTCTTCGCCGTAGCTTAACACTAGCTGTCAAAATGGCGAGTGTGCATGATAGTTTGTATTTCAACCCCATGATGACGAACGGAGTGGTCCATGCTAACGTGTTTGGTATCAAGGACTGGGTGACTCCGTATAAAATCTCCGTCCTGGCGCTGCTGTACGAAATGACCGCGTCCAAAACCACACTGCCAGAGAGAAGACGACTGAACAAACTCATCCTACCCTTGCAGCAGGTTAGTTTTGTTAATGTCGCTATCTTGTAAACGTGGTGTTGTAGCAGGTGTTTCAGAGTCCTGTTTCATGTGTGGTCATCAGGGTCCAGACCTCACTCTCGGCCAATTCCTGAAGACTGTGGAGGAATGTTGCCCTCAGACTGCATATGCTGTCAAACTCAGGTAAGCTGCTTCAGTCTGACATGTTGTTTAGTTGCTCAGTAGCATGCGACATTGTCTTTTTGCGATGACATCTACTGACACAATAGAAAAGGTCCCAGACAGTACAATATCGCAATAATGTTAAAATATTGACACGTCACGTTGTTTTTGCTTTTCAAAGGCTGCATGAAATGGCAGACGGAGAGCTCAAAGACATGGAGTACTTCTTTTCCACTCTTCCCACTCCATTCACTGCTTTTGATTCTGAGGCTTATAAAACAAGTGTTGTAGGTGAGTAACACACACGATTTAAATGCTCTGAAAGTAGGATTTGAAGTCCTGAAATGTCTTATTTGTGAAGAAGACTTGCATTAAGCTATGTCTCACCTGTTTGTTTGTTTTCAGGGCTTTTTATGAGACACATGCTTCTGGCCTACAACAAGCTGTCTTTCAGTCAGGTCTACAAGTTGTACAAGTCCCTGCAGCACTACTACCACAGTCACTACGCCAAGCCTGCCGATGGGGAGCTGAGTTTGCCAGCGCTGGTCTCTAACGACTCCGACATGGACCTCACCAGCACTGAGGATACTGTTGGGGACAGAATAGACCGAGAGGAGTTGGACACCCCACTGCATGAGTCAGAGCTTCGGTTAGTGATGCCGTTACCGGATCAGATCATTTCTTTGTTGTAGCATATTTTACTTTCATGGGACAGACCTGAGTGTTTCAACCTCACCTTGAACGTTTGTTTTCATTGTCTGCACCTACTACTTTTATTAAATTGTTCAGTTACTTTGTGTACACCAAACATGTAAACCATGGAAAGACTTCGATCTCGTGTGTTATTTTGGCTCCGCTCTAGAAATGACAATACTCCAAGCAGAGGTCCCCTGTCACAGAAACAAGCAGAGTACTTTCTTGCAAGACAGGTGAGTTTTTAAATCAAGGAACTGTATTGAATTGCATTAATGCCATCTTGTTCAAACCAGCAGATTTGACACTAAAGGTAAATCAAATTAACCAAACGCATCCTGTGTCAAACCTAAATGTGCTTTTGCGGTTATTGAAAACCTCTTCTCTGCAGGCATATCTTCTGAAGAACGATGAGAACAAAGCTCTGAAGCCTGCTGCGCTGCAGGAAGAGCTCAACAACATGCTGAAATTTAACCCGGATTTTGCTGAGGCGGTGAGCTCCGTCCACTAACTTCCCCTACTATATTAACAAGTCTGCCAGAGGGGAGGATATCTTTTTTCATCAGATTTGTGGTTTTTCTCTCTCTCTCATCAGCATTATCTAAACTACCTGAACAACATGAGAGTCCAGGACATCTTCCTCTCAGCTCATAGTCTCTTACATTATTTTGATCGCCTCATCTTGTCTGGAAATGAGGGAAAGAGCAACGGGGATGAGGGCTACGGCCGAAGTCTCCGCTACGCCGCTCTCAACCTGGCAAGCCTGCACTGTCGCTTCGGCCACTAGTGAGTACACGGTCTGGTGGAGTCTGAGCAGACGGGACAAGTTTCTTCTTCCGAGTATCCGTATAAATCGTGGCTTACATTATAGCTGTTCTCACTTTTCTTTTCCCTCAGTCAGCAGGCTGATCTGGCTCTACAGGAGGCCATCCGCATCGCCCAGGAGTCCAATGATCATGTGTGCTTGCAGCACTGTCTGGTAAAATACTTTTTTCTACTCTTATCATTTATTTAATGTCGCTGTTTTATGGCGATCGATGGTCCGTCATGTCTGAATTTCATACGAGTGTGCTTTAGATCCTTCTTCCCGTCTCTTTGTGTGCTACATCAGAGTTGGCTCTACACGCTGGAACAAATGAAGGGATCTGACAGCACTGTGTTGACTGAGGATTCGGTGAAAATGGCTGCCCATTTCTGCCTGCCAGTGAGTGCAACATGAGCTCTCGAATAAGAATGTATATTTTAAAGTGGCTATAGCTGTTTTATTATTTTTTTAATTACCGTGGCTCACTTTTTACAACAGTCTCCGTTTGCCAAACTCCTAATACAAAATGCTGTAATCTTAAATTTGGCCTCAAAACAGCACAAAGCAAGCAAAATGGAAATTTCTGTGTTAAATTGGGCATCACGCTATTAAATATGTTCATCACTGAATTTTAAACATAGTTTCATTTTTTTTTAAGTATACTAATTACTAAATAATTCTGCCGAACTGTAACACATTTTCATCAAAGAGTGGCCATTTCCTTAAGATCATACAAATAATTATGAGAAAATGTGCATTTAGAAGTAAAGCAATATAATTTAACACATTTTTTTAATTTTATTGAATATACTCATCTCTGCAAATGTAGTGAATGAGTAACTTTCTACAACAGTAAATCCCGCACCTTCACAATTACTACTGTAATAAACACTCATTTCAAAATGTTGAAAGTAGTTAATGAGGAAATGAACCGCATCTCTTTTCCCTCGCTTAAGTTATCGAGTGTGTTGCAATGCTCAGCTGGATACATTTTGAATGAGCAGAAATGCTTGAAAATACCTGATTCAGTGAACTGTACTCTTAGTAGTTAGCATTATGCTAATATGAGGCAGCTGCTTTCTGAGGACCAATCATGTGATTCAATGTTTTTGCACTTTGGCTGTAAAGGAAAACATTTTCCCTTTTAAAGTAAATTATTTAAAAATTCAATAGGAGTGTTGTACATTGAAACTCTGATGTCAAAACTGAGCTAATGCAAACAGGAACCACTGTAACAGTGGTGTCCTTCATGTAACCATACATTATGTACAGCTGGGCTACAGCGGGCATCAGATAAAGATGTCGGCTGCACCTCTCGTTAGAAAATGAAAAGAGAGGTTTAAAATGAAAACACAGCTTTCCACACATGCATAAAAACAACATATAATGCATCATTGTACACAGCTAAACCTGATCTTTGACATGTGTGATCCACCTCACTGATTGATAATCCTCCCTGCTGTAGTACTTGGCATCTCTGGGCATTCAGTCGTTGGTCCAGCAGGGGGCGACACAAGGTAAGACAGCCCACAAACTGATGGACGCACTGAAGGACACGGACATCCTGCACTGGAAGCACAGTCTGTCGGAGCTGATCGAGATCAGCCTGGCTCAGACTACGTCCATATGGAGGATGTACGGCAAAAGGTCAGGCTCTTCAGCTCGCCACCCCGACACATAGCTGTCAGTTGTGTTCACTGTTCACTGACAGTAGGCCGCACGCTAGCACACAACCTTCTCCTCGCTCTTATTAAATCATCTCTGCGAAACACTAATGGGCAATGCAAACTTGTCGTAAAATATCATGAAAAACCACAAGGTGTGAAAATAAATGACTTAAATCTGCATGACCAGCACTTTTTTTCCTCTAAGTCCTTTACAGTATGTGCCCGTGTCTTGTGCAGCACCATGGCTCTGCAGCAAGCCCAGCTGCTTCTCAACATGAGCAGTCTGGAGCCAGTCAACTTTGGGGTCCAGCAGAACAACACAGAGGCGTTCGCTGTGGCTCTGTGCCACCTGGCCGAGCTGCACGCCGAGCAGGTAACGCGTTTGAATTGATTCTCGTCCGTCTGCTTCCTGCCCCCCGCTGCTGCGTAACCCATTAGTCAGTTGACCCAGTATTGCGGAAGGGTAATAAACATCGATGAAGTCTTCAGAGTTCAACACGTATATTGTTTGCTTTTGTTACAGGGCCGGTACTCTGCCGTTTCAGAGATTCTCCAGCATCTGAAAGAACAGTTTCCTCCTCACTCACAGCATGCTAAGGTTCGTTCTATCAACCATTCTGTGTTAGTCGGTGCTGTCTTACAAAGGCAGAGAGCAGCAACTGCAGAAAGAGGGAAGTCTCAGGCTGGCTAGCAAAACCGTGTAACAGACAATAAAGTTGTAATGCCTCTATTTGAAACCAGAAAAATCATCGGCGATGATGTTTTTCTGCCTTCACAGGTTCACTAAATGAACGGAGTAATCGCAGTATTTACCAAAAATGGTTATTTCAGCTTTCTGGTCCATTTTAACGAGATTGTTTTCGCTCCGTGGTTCGTAGGGATTAAACGAGATTAAGGCTGTCCGTTTATTATTGCGATTAATCTTAAAATCAATATAATGAATTAATCTACAAATGTAGTACATTTAAAGTTACTGTGAGGGACGTTGAACTGGTTATGAAACGGTGTCGCTTTAATACCGATGCCTCGCTGTGACCTATATAAGGAAACGAGATCATCGTGATTGCAGTTAGCTAATACCTCGTTTAGTTATGTAGAATAACAAACTAAACTGGAGAATTGCTGGTTTTAAAAGTTAAATGTTGTAATAAGCGCTTTTCACTGAAGCCCTTTTGACGTGTCACTACAGCTGTAAATAATAATATTAATTATGGCACCGGTCCATTAAGGTGGGCCAGGTTTTGTGAATGCTGGCTCACTGGGATGGCTGTGACACACTCTATAGACCGGCACCGTTATTCATTGTATCAGTTGCACCTGTGTTTACCTGCTATGTCTATGCTATAAAACAGGCTTGTATGCTAAACTAAACTGGAAGTCTGAAAGATCGTGTGTGTGTGTGTGTGTGTGTGTGTGTGTGTGTGTGTAACTGCACTAATTAGCAGTCTAGCAGCAATCAGAGGTTGCTGTGATGATGGTAACTGCTGAGTCACTCTTCGACGGGTCATTGCATAGAATTTAAGCTGAGCCTCACATCTCATCCCTCTGCTTCCCAAACAAAAAACCAAACTCCTATCACTTAGATTTTTTTACCGTGAGGGTTTTTTTTACCATCAGGTTTCTGCTGATGAACACACATGTGAAATTTGTGTGTGTAATGTCAAGAATGTGAGTGTAAGAGCAGGTTAGAAAACTTGTACTGTTTGCTGGTTATTTACCAACCAAAAGGGCAATGCAGAGTGCAATTACTGCAGTTGAGATTGATCTTTAGCTACTATTTCCATATGCTGTTTTCACATGAAATATGAATTTATTTTGCATAATATTTTTGCATGGTAAAACAGATGGAAA